ATTTAGAAAAATTTCATTAGTGTTGGCCAGTATAATGGTAATTAGGTATATAGCTGTATTTAAAATGCCATTTTCAAAAAGTTGCCAAAACATAAATATATATATATCGTTCAGCATTAATGGTGCCTTCATATGGTATGCCATCTGGTATGCCCCCCTATACCATCATGAATACTGGCTTTTGAACTGTGCACTGATAACAAGCTGAGTGGTCTTTAGCCCGGAGGACGCAGTGTCCATGATTTCCAAAAAGAACTTCAGTTGTTGATTTGTCGGACCAGAGGACACTTTTCTACTTCCCTTCAGTCCATTTTAAATGAGCTCGGGCCCAGAGAAGGTGGCGGTGTTTCTGGATCCTGTTTATGTACAGTTTCTTCTTTGCTTTTTAGAGTTTTAACTTGCATTTGTGGTGCAGTGATGGACTGTTTTCACAGACAGTGGTTGTCAGAAGTGTTTCTGAGCCCATGCAGTGATTTCCACTACAGAATCATGTCTGTTTTTAATGCAGTGCCATTTGAGGGCCCAAAGATCACGGCCAGCAAACACTGGTTTTTGGTCTCGTCTCTTGCATACAGAGATTTCTCCAGATTCTCTGAATCTTTTAATGTTATTATGTACTGTAGATGATGAAAAGCAAAAGTTCTTTGTTATTTTATTTTGAGAAACTCCTTGAACTGTTGCACTATTTGATCATGCAGTCTTTCGGGGGAAACCTAGCTAGCAGGTAGGAATAGGTAAAGCCTAGATTGAGGAGAAGGAATTGCTGTTGATGGTGATGTTTGCTGTATTTTGCATTCTGCTCAGTCTGAAAAAGTAACAATGCTCATCCTATGGAGATTTCTGGCACTTCTTATAGAATAGCTGGAGCAGGTTCAGCACCATGGACAGAGTGCATCTCTCATACGCTGTAGTATGCAAAAGTTTGGGCACTGCTGGTCAAGTCCAGTAAAGAGATCAAACTTTTATCAAACAATTAGTGTTTTTTTGCTGAATTCAACATAGAAAAAAGGAAACATAATATGGCCTCTGCACATTTTATATTTTCTGTTTTATTTTTTTGCAAAATGTTAAACATAGCAAATAAATAAAAATTGTGCACTAAAGTTGACAGAATAATGTCATGTTTAGATGGTTTCTCTGTAGATGATGTGTTTCCTTATTTTCAGTTAAAAAATCAATGAAACATGCAAAATGATCAGGGCTGTTCAAACGTTTACATACGCCTGTATATCTGTGCATCGCCACCTGTTACATTCGGTTAGCTTGTATGTGTTGTTACATCTGCGTTACAGTGACAGCTGCATGTGTCAAAGGTGAAAGATGTTTTTATAACACTGAACTATATGCTTTATTTTATTATTAAAAATTGTAAAAAATAAGAAGCCAAGACTTTGTGGTAGTCGAGTCTGAGTCAAGACCCAGACTCTGTAGTAGTCGAGACTAAGTCAAGACCAAGACTTTGTGGTAGTCGAGTCTGAGTCAAGACCCAGACTCTGTAATAGTCGAGACTAAGTCAAGACCAAGACTTTGTGGTAGTCGAGTCTGAGTCAAAACCAAGACTTTGTAGTAGTCGAGTCAAGATACTACCACATATATATATATATATATATATATATATATATAATGTATATATATATATATATATATATTTGTGGTAGTTGAGTCTGAGTCAAGACCAAGGCTTTGTAGTAGTTGTGGCGAGACTGAAACCTGATTTAAGGTATATACATATATATATATATATATATATATATATATGTATATATATATATATATATATATATATATATATATATATATGGTTTTGTTGATGTGAATGATGATAGAAAAAAGTTCAGTTTCCAGTTACCTCAGACAGAGGCACTGCACTGTGGTCTAAATGTTGTTGAGACCCAGCCGAGTCTCAAGTACAACACGCTGCCTCGTACTTAAGGGACTGTGAAAGAAAGCGTTACCTGGAAATGAGTTCTGTGGGTTTGTTGAGCCACAGAGGAGTTCAGGGGGAGGAGTTTGGAGTTTGTGCTGATGGGCTTTTACCTTTCAGTGTGGAACACCTGGCCTAGATTCTGTGTGTGTGTGTATGGTGTGTGTGTGTGTGAGTGTGTGTGTGTGTGTGTGTGTGAGTGTGTGTGTGTGAGTGTGTGTGTGTGAGTGTGTCTGTGTGTGTGTGTGTGTGTGTGTGTGTGTGTGTGAGTGCGCTGACGCATGCATTCATGCATGTGCAGTAATGTACTGGTACCCTTTACTGAATGTACTGTGTCTGTCTGTGTGCAGATGTATCTATTTGTGTTAGGTATGTGTATCTTACAGTAACAGACTGTCCCAGATTGTGGCTGAATGCACTCCTTCTGAAGCTCTGCGATGCTTGTGGTCCGGCACACAAACTAACACGTCCTTCACTGCAACCTGCTTTACGTTCTGCTTTTCCACTCAGCTGCAGCAGCAGCAGCAGCCAGTAACAGTTACTGAGTTACTCATCCACGTTTCAGCAAGATGCTGTAAGCCAGTAGTTAACTGGCAGTGGTTTTATCAGGCAACTCATATTTTTATATTTTTTCACAATCATGGTTGTATAAAGTGCATAAATGCATAAAAGTGCATAAATTGCATTTCTTTAACTCCAGAAGCAAACTTTGAAAACAAAGCATGTCTTTACCGGTCCAGTACACTGGGGTAAAGGAAACATTGAGTCTTTTTTGTGTAAACTTTTCATTAAAGTGCCTGAATCAGCGTGCAATTCATGCATTTTTTAGAAAAAGCCAAATATATACATTTAAAAAAATATACTGTACTGTGCAAAAGTTAATATTCTTTCATTCATTTAATTTCCAGTCATAACAGCCATTAAGTACATTTTTTTCATTTTTCACTGTCAGAAAGACCAAAGTACTTTTCTGTATTTGAATGTTCTACAATAATGTTAAAACTTTATTCTCTGTGCATTTTGCTCTTTTATTATTGTTTTGGTGTTGATCAGAGGACGATGGGTTCCCCTTTTGAGTCTTGGTTCCTCTCAAGGTTTCTTCCTCTTGCTATTAGGGAGTTTTTCCATTGCCACCGTTTTCCTTTCCCTTGGCGACGCTCGTGGGGGCTTGGACCTTTCTGCAAAGCTGCTTTGCAACAACGGCTGTTGTAAATAAACTTTGACTTGACTTTGGGAGCAGCTTTTGTTGGGAGGACAGCTGTAACTGATTTTAAGATGGGAAGGATGAAGAGTTGAAGTGGCTGTAGGGCGCAAAAAAGTAAAGACTGGACAAAAGAAATACTGATAGATTTTATATTAAACTTAGTGTTGGAGGCTTTTGTGTAATTTTCTGTTAAATAATACATCACATATACTGTATTTGGGTTAGTGAAAAATAAGGTTTTCAAAATGTCAGTTTCACAATGTGCAATTACAGTAAAAGGCAGTATTTCTAAGAAATTAAATGACTGTAATTTTACAGATTTTTTACCAACTTTTGTTTTGAGAAAACATACTTTTACAGTTAATTAGGGGTTTTTTTCTGCAACCCTGCTTCCGGACTTTTTACTGTTTGGTTTTACTCATTTTTAAAAATTTTTACAGCGTACTTAATGGCTGTTTTGACTGACAATTGAATAAACAGAAGGGTGGTCGTTGACTTTTTCATAGTACAGTATGTTGCTTAATAAAAAGTTTGAAAACTCTTGGCTCCTTTTGTTCAAAGAGCAGACTAACATGTTCTCAAAACCTTGCTTTGTTATCGTGCGAGCATAATTTACACGTGCACACAAGACCTGTGTTGGAAAATGTTTATCTATAGTGGAGTCTGAGAGTCTAAAGTCTGAGACCACACTGAAAATCTGAAATTCTTTCTTTTAAGCCTGAAAATAAACAGCCAGTTCTTGAAAAATGTAAAGCACTGAAAAGTTACGACAATTAAAACTATCAAGAAATGTTGAAGATTCTGCACTATTTCCCGGTCACCATTCATACTGAAGGAAATTTGTGAAATTGAGCATTTTGAGGCCTTCATACCAAAAGATACCAAAGCTTATGGAGTCCATGTCAGCTTGAGTGCACAGGGGAACATACTCTACCAAATACTGAGAAATACTGAAATTTGGAAAACACTGAAAGATTCTAGTTTGGAAACTGTTATGCTGATAATTTCATTTGTAATAAAAAAAACCTAGAAACATTAGTAACCAGTGTTTTCGTACTTTTGGACCCCAATGTGTCTCATGTTTCTTATGTTTTTAGAAATGTAAAACAGCCCACAAATTTACATGCATTTTGCTTCTGCATTCTATATCACTGCTGTTGGAAGAAAACTCGTATCTCCATTTTTATCATTTTTAATTTTTTGACATAATTTGAAAATACCTGTTCTTTACATTGTGTGCAAATTTCATGATGAATGGACCAACAGAAATGCCCCAAAATGACTTGGAAAAACGTCTGGTTCCATTGACTTACATTAAAAGTCAAGTAGGTTTTCTCCTTCTCCTGTACAGTTAACATTTTGGAGATATGAAGTTTTGTTCCGTTTGTTGTTTTGGCAACTTTCTTTTAATTGTAACTGACCTTGCAAAAGCCTAGATCAGAAATTTTCTAATGCTTTTATTTTTCTTTATATAAAGCGCTTTGATTTGCCACTGTGTATGAAAGGTGCTATACAAATAAACTTGCCCTATAATTTCATCTCAGATATTTCGTCGGCCCTTTTTTAACATTCCTGCAAAGCACCTGAGGTTTAAAAACCAGTCTTGTAGGCTATTCTTGGCGTGTGAAACATGGTTTTAAGACTCAGCCGAAGCCTTTGCTTGCTCCTAATTGGCTGAGTTTAAGCTTGGGCATGTATAACATGCTGTGGGTTAGAGAGAAAGAAATTTGATCGATATAAAATTGTCTAATTTGGGCTCTCTGCTGCCTGTCGATGGGAACGCAAGAAGGAAGTCTTGCATAAAAATGTGCAATTTGACTAATTGTATGTTTTTTTTTTTTTCCTGCAGTGATCTGCTGTCTTCAAAGTACGTGGAGAGGCACATATCGGAGGAGGGGAAATCGTACATCTCCAAAGTAAGTTTCCAAACTGCTAATGTCTAAATAAAGGTCAAAGAGGTCAAGAGGCCTCCATCTCAAGATTATGAACAGAGAACATTGTAATGTTATTTTGAGTGTTGATTTGAACTGTTCCTACTGAAGGAACATTGAGATACAAGCACAGTACATGCAGAGACACAAGAGCATGTGGACAAATCGAAATTGAAATACTTTGGATACCAGTATATCGAGACAATGTGCTTGTAACAAAGCACATATCACTAAATGAAAATTCTTGGCAGAAACGCAAATTCAGGACACACTGGGCAGAAAACCGAAAAAAGCTGACAATAAAAACAACATAAACTTACTGAAGGATTACAGTAGGCTACTGTATGTGCCACGAAATCCAACGCCTTCAACAACAGAGAACGATTGTTCATTCAAGACAATGAATTCCATTATTTTTAGGTTATAAATTGCACTTTTGCGAATTTATTAATCATTTAAAAAATTTTAGTTTCCAAATGCTGCCGTTGTGCTAGCAGTAGGATCTAGAGTAGGATTTTCCAGTTTAAAGACTAGAAAAACTCCTGTCTGGAGATGTTTCTCCAAGGTGAGAGGAACTTTTAAAAAACTACAACTGCTTCAGGAAGGGAAGGTGTTGTAAGATGGGGTGCTAAAATTTTAAGCAGCATATCCGTGAGATGAACGATGACGTCATGCTAAATCATTTGTTTTTTTTTCATTTGAGTTTTTTAGTACTGTACATCAAACAGAATGCAGCATACTGCGCCATAATGAGGCGAGAGACGACAATATATGCATATAACTGGCACATCAGGCCGCTGGAACTCGTCCTCTCTCTGCTCTGTCATTCTGGATGAACTTCAAGCAAGTTAACTGAGTTGCGACCAGTGAGATTGTTGATGTGTGGCGCGGTAACCCATTGTGTCACGCCCGCAGTTAGACAGTGAGCATGCACACTGAGCTGGAGATTGAACAGTTGACAGAATGTTATTATTATGTTATATGATTTTTTCTTTTAATTAAAAAAAACAGCATTAGGGATCTTTGGTGTTCAGATCTTTGGCCTCTATCTACGCAAATGCTTTCTTTCTTTGCACCTCAATCGTGTTAAAATATCATTAACAATAGGAAAAACATCTCCTCTCCAAAATAAGCATGCGTTGGTCTTTGCTATGCTCAAATTATTAAAACGTTCAGATCTCTGTATTTTTATAATTGGTTTTTTTTAGTTGCAGTCCTGAAATCTATCAAGATACTTAACTCAGTCTGGCTTCTTTTCTGGCTGAAAGGGTAAAAATTTATCCTTAGGATTCATTTTGTGCTGAATGAAGATACACTATATGGACAAAAGTATTGGGACATGTACACTTTACACCTACAGGACCTTTTATGAATCCCATTCTAAATCCATAGGCATTAATATGGAGTTGGTCTCCCTTTGCAGCTCTAACAGCTTCCACTCTTCTGGGAAGCTTTCTACCAGATTTTGGAGTGTCTGTGGGAATTTTTGTCCGTTCATCCAGAAGAGCATTTGTGAGGTCAGACACTGACATTGGACGAGAGATCCTGGCTCACAATCTTCGTGCTAGTTCATCCCAAAGGTGTTTGATGGGGTTGAGGTCAGGGCTCTGTGAGGGCCAGTCAAGTTCTTCCACACTAAACTCACCCAACCATGACTTTATGGACCTTGCTTTGTGCACTGGGGCTCAGTCATGCTGGAACAGAAAAGGTTCTTCCCTAAATTGTGCCCACAAAGTTGGAAGCATAGAATTGTCCAAAATATCTTAGTCTGCTGAAGCATTAGGATTTCCCTTCACTAGAACACTAGAAGGGTTCTAGGTCAACCCCTGAAAACAACCCCATATCATCATCCCTCCTCCACCAAACTTTACAGCTGGCACAGTGCAGTCAGGCAGGTAATGTTCTCCTGGCATTCACCAAACCGAGACTCGTCCATCAGACTGACAGATAGAGAAGCCTGATTAGTCATTCCAAAGAATATGTTTACACAGAGAGAACAACCCGTTAGAGGTACACTAATTCTAGCTTGGTTGTATTTGTTAGTCTGTAAATCAGTGTCTAGGCTAGGAGTCAGAATTGGTCGTATGATATATGTGTATAATGCACGCTGGGTAGTATAATGGGAGAACATTGGTGACCAAAACCATGAGCCAGAACATGAACCACTGAGCCTGAGAGTTGCAATGTTGCGCAACAGAATATTACATAATATCTCAAGTAACATACTAAACATATCGTTGTTGTCAGAAGAAAACTTCATATCTCCATTTTTGACATTTTCCAGTTTTTGATATAATTGAAAATACCTGTTACTGTTTACATTGGGTGTAAAGAAATGACCCAAAATGACTTGGGAAAAAGTCTGGTTCCATTGACTTACATTAAAAGTCAAGTAGGTTTTGTCCTTCTCCTGTAAAGTTACCATTTTGGAGATACCAGGTTTTTTTCCGAAAACAGCGATATCTAGTTTTGGGTTAGAATGCCCTTTTAAGAGTGAAATCACAACATGGACCATTCGGTTCAGTGTGGAGTTTATGTCCCAAATGGAGTAAATCTGAGAAGTTTTTCTCTAAGGCAATGTGACCTGGATCTGGTGGTCCTTTCAATGGTCAGCACAAGTGAAGGGCGATGTGACAGTATGAAATTGTTTCTCTACAATAAACCATTTCACATCAAACCACTTGGAACGACTTTGAATGATTGAATTATGCAATGAAATTTCTCTTTAAAAAGACTCCCATAGCTGTGTAAGGTCAGGGGCAGGCAGGGCAGTCTCAGCTTCGGGGTGAGACCGTATTTGCACAGGACTCGGGGCTCTGCTTTGCATAATCTTTAAACCTTCTAAATGAACCCAAATAGCCCCGTCTAAATCACTACTCAACACAAAACATGCTGCTGATCTGAAAATACAAAATCTCTTAAGCACAGTGTCAGTTTATCCCCGGTCATGGGAAATGGTCAACAAGGCGGGTCATCCACCCCAATTATGACTTTGCTCATGAACTGTATTCCCTCAGAGATTAAAGTGTGACAGTTTGTTGGCTTTCTGTTGGTATCTGAGCTTTCAACACAGTTCATGGCGCTTCCCGCACATTCCTACGCTCGTGTGCCGACACACTCAGACTCTTAATCTTCACACCCCGCCCATATCCAATTCGATTATGAGATAATTGCCAGATTAATAGATTAATATGTGTGTTAATGTGGTCAGACGGGTGATAATCTGGGCTCATGTATAATCCGTCTGTATTTCAGAGATTAGCCCAGCGGCACCGTGACCCAACGGCTTCTACTTTCTTAGCTTTTCAGACGTTTGGAGTCAAGATTTTCAAAGAGATAAAACCAACAGTGGCTGATAAATGTATAAAATGAATGATGTACACCTTCACAAGTTTATGTAATACGAATAATTAAAAGGAAACTGTAAACAAACAAACAAATAATAAATAAATCCAATTAGATGTGTTCACAATGGTTGCTTGTTGTTTTCAAAATACCCCAAATACTGATTAAAACATTTAAACTAATGTTTACTGTCTATTTTAGAATATGTTAATGTGCCTTGTACGCTATTGTTTTATATGAAATAAAATTTATGAATATTTTAGGGTTTAAATCTTTTGTGCAGCACTGTGTTTCTGCAGCAACTTGCGGCTTTACCAACAAGATGTTGAGCTCTTTTTATTGAATGTAGTGCTGGAAGTTAGTTTTAGTTAGTCAGTTAGTAGCCCAGTTATCTTTCACCAGTCAGAGAAATGTATTGTGTGTTAGCTGCCATTGCACTAGCACTCTGGAGCTGTGTTTTTATTTATTTATCTATTTATTTATTTGTTTATTTATTTATTTATTAAACCAATACCTTTTTTGAGGTGAAGCGCCACCATGGCAATACGTGTTGTCAGCATTAACCCTCTACTGCATTGTTATAAGAGCAAAAAAAAATATTCGATTCACTTTTGTTGCATAAAATGAACCTGATTATAAAATATCAAAACATTTTTTTTTATAAAATTGTGTGCAGGGGTCATTTTGGAGCATGTTGACTTGAGGCAACATTGTGCGACAATGGGAAGAAATGATATAGAGCCGTGTTCCCTGAAGCGGTGAGACCTGACTTGTGACTGGTCAAATCTATTCCACTGTCGCACATTGTTGCCTCTAGACAACAAACATACTTCTGCAGATTCTCATAACAAAAAAGACAGATACTCAATTTTTAAAAAGAGTGCCCACTAAGAGATAGTATGACCAGGAACATGCTTTTTGTTGACATACTCAAACTCTTCCGTTTAACAATAAACGGTAATGTTATTGCAAAGTGAGGAAAATGGACTTGTTGCCCTGAGGCAACATTGTGCAATAGAGGGTTAAGCTAATGTATACTTTGTTCATAAGTGGCTGAGGAGCCAGTTTGATGGCTTATGTCACAGGTAAAGTATATGAATAACAGATGGAGCATGTGTGTTTGTCCTGGGACAGAGAGGATGCTTAGTTATCCCAGAACAGAAGGTGCTGATTGATAGTTTTATGGCAGGCTGTTCCTGTTTTAACGTCCAATTCACACAAACACACACACACGCACACAAACACTGGGGACTGGGTCACAGTGTCCTACTTACACGCTCAACGTTTGACACCTTGATTGTCTCCTGTGTAGGAATGTGTGTGTGTGTGATCGTTTCTAAGCATGAGGGCCAGAATTTACACATCTAGAGCTGATCAAATCAAATTTACTCAATTCTCCCCAGACTACACATCTGGTCAAACAGACAAGTCATGTTCGGTGTCTGAAGTTTGCTTCTTTAGTTTTGCACTGGAGCTACGAGGCTAATGTCTGACAAGATGACTGACATGGAATGAGGCTTATAGTCATCAGTCAGCATTGTGTAAACCACAGTTGTAGCTGTAGAAGGGCGTAGGGGGTCTAGGCCCTCCCATTTGGGAGGCAGGGTGATTTCTGACCATAAAAATGTCCAAAGAAAAAT